ACATACACATTACATTCAAAATTAACAACGACACAATAACCTCTCAATTGGCCGAACAGATTTTTTGCGTCACAAGCTGAATTCACAGTCACATTCAAAATCGATACAGCGTTTGAGAGGTACGATGCCACAGACACATACACATAGATATCTAACCTTATGCAAATACGTAAGACATATGGTTAAAAACCCCGGGCACTTCTCAAATGGTTGAACAGATTTTTTTAGTCATATGGCCAAGCAAACTGTCAATCAAGCCTACTTTCAAATAAAAAACAAAATCAGTCCATCCGTTTGGGAGCTACCGACATTATACAAATGTTAACCTTGTAACGCCCCTTTGTTTAATACGAATAGTATTGCCGCAGCCAACTAGTTTAATCAGCCGTTCAATTAGCAGCCTGGCCTCTTGACTCAACACCATTCAACTAGCGGCCTCCATTATATTCAAACGTTTAGTCAAATGGCAATCAATAATTTCTAACTACTTGCCTAGCCTATTTTTTTAACTGTCACTTATCCCAGTCCAACTTAACCTAACTCAACCTAATACCATATGAGATAAAAAAATCATTACGTTAAGTGAGATTGTTTTAAATTAGGATGTATGTATTTCTCATATAAACAATTTCTCATATCAAATATTTCAACACTTTTTGTAACCCTAATCTGAAAATGACTCAAGCATCCGCCAGGCAGTTCATTAAATCTTGTATCAGACGCAACGTTTGAATATTATTCAAACCGCTCCATGATTGGCGTTCCTTAGTAAAAAAGCATGATACTGTAACTCGAAAAGATATGCTCACTTCGCCACCGAATTTCTTACGCCTTTACGCCTGACGTCACTCGGTGACAAATGTCACCACTTGCTGGTACGAAATGCATTAATTTTATTAGAGCATTTTCTTTTACATGTTTGAAATATTTGCTTAGTATTTTTTTGTGTTATTGATGTTACATGACAATTTTAGTATTATATAGAAAGTTTTAGTATATCATTATAGACAGAATAGATTGCCGTTATAAGGTTATCTCTGTTGAAAAATTAACAATAGACAAGTTGAAAGGTTCTAAATAAATTAAGATTTAATAATTGAAAACGCGCTTAATATAGCTTTTCAAACTAAATTTCTTTAGAGCTCCAAATAAAGGGATTTACTTTTTTATTGAAGTAAATTGGTTCCAAATAATACATTTGTGCATCAGTGATATGTATGTATTAATTTGTTATATAAACTTTTTAGACAGAAAAATAATGTAGAACAACATACATATATGAGACCTTTATGATTTTGTGTAAAATGTTCTGTGTAAATTGATTTTTAATCTTGTTTTTTTATGGGTAGGTGTTGATAAAAGTATTGGTAAACAGTGTTATTGAGTTTATTTTACAATTTTTATCTTCCCAATTTTGGATTTTTTTATATCGCTATTTGACATTCAGATTTTAAAATGCATTTTACATATAAAAAAAATATTATTGGTTTATATCGGCACTTAGGAATTATTAATTGATAACCCTTCAGGACCCATTGTTTCAAAACTTATTTGTTCTTTGGAAAACTGAAGAAACGCCAATTCGAAACGTATTTGCTTTTCGTATTGTTGTTTGAACAACCCACCATAGTTAAATAATTAATTCACTGTTTTATATATAGGGTGACTTGTAATGTCACGTATTCCTGTTAAGGGGTGATAGATTAGGTCAAAAGCAACCGATTTTGTCCTATCATGTCTTATCCAAAAGTTAACCATTTTTGAGTTATTTGAATTTTATGTTTTTTATTTTTTATTCCGATTTCAGACGGTTAAAATTGAAATACAAAAAAACTGCATGCTTGATTTTGAGTTTTTTGTTATCGTCGCATAGCAGACACTCCAATAGTTCATAATAAGTAATAAAATGATGAAAAGCTACAAACGTTTTAAAATTACGCTTTTTAAATGTATCATTTTCTTATTTTTATTCTTATTCGATAAAAAATGCAATTTTCTGTAAAAAATCTCCTAGTTATGAAATGTGCAAATTATGTAAATAATAACTCTATCTAACAAGCTTTCATTTGAGGTATTAAGCGTTCAATTATCTGAAGTACATGCGGAGAAACAACAATGACACCCACAGAGGCGGGATTTTTAAGGAATTTGTATTACCTGTTTGGACAAGTCGTTACTGTCCTCAAAGGACTCGCATGCCATGATTGTTTTATGGCATCGGCTCGACGAGGAAGCGAGCGAGAAGAGCTGACTTAGTGGAGGAGTGAGAGCTCTTATTATTCATCATTGTAGTTACGCCATCGCCGCACGCCGAGTGAGAATTAGGTTTAGTTGGTATCAACTACTGCGTACGCGCACACGTTTTACGCACGATTATTATTTTCGAGTTTCCCAGTTCATTTCGAGTGGTTTCTCTATCATCATGGCAGACGCAGAAGATGCGCCACGGGCAAACTTTTACAAATGAAGAATACGCAAACATAATGTTCTGTTATGGACTTTGTAACGGCGATTTTGCAGCTGCCCGCCGTGAATATCGGCTACGTTTCCCGAATCGCCGAACACCTCATATTACTGTGTTTGACTCTGTGTATCGGTGCATCCGCCAAACCGGACGTGTTCAAAGGCAACATAGTGATGCCGGTCGACCCCGAGTCTATCCTCCTGAAGATGAAAAGGAAATCCTTCGTGTGTTTCAGGAAGACCCTACTACGTCTACACGCATTGTGGCTGCTCAGTTGGGTATATCACAATACAAAGTATGGTTTACTGTGCATACTGCAAGATTATACCCTTATCACTACACGCCTGTGCATGTGATTGAAGAGGGCGATCCTGCAAGACGGTTAGATTTCTGCAGGTACATGTTACATGCAGATACAGAAGATCCAGACTATTTTAAGAAAATTCTGTGGACCGATGAATCGAAGTTTGATAAGGACGGGATCACGAACTACCATAATGCTCATTACTGGGCTGATAAAGGAGCTTTAAACCCTCGAAAAATAAGACCAACGGGGTCTCAGAGCCGGTTTTTAGTCAATGTGTGGATGGGCATCATTGATGGATATTTAATTGGACCTCATTTTCTACCCGCCAATTTAAATGGAGAAGTGTATGAAGAGTTCTTGAAAAATCACTTGTTTCCATTATTGGAAGACGTCCCATTGGCGACGAGACAAAATATGCGGTTCCAGCACGACGGCTGTCCCGCACACTACAGTAGATTAGTACGGGCGTATTTAGACTCTAAATTTCCAAATCAATGGATTGGCAGAGGCGGGCCCATTGCCTGGCCAGCAAGAAGCCCAGATCTCACACCGATGGATTACTATGTGTGGGGACAAATGAAAAGCCTGGTGTACGATGTTTCGCCCGTACCAACGCGCGATGAATTAATTACAAGGATAATCAGTGCAGCTGACCAAATAAAAAGCCGCTTAACAACTAGAGTTACCAAAAGTGAATTACGTAAGAGAATGCGGGCGTGTATTTGTAACAGGGGATTACAATTTGAGCAGAATCTGTAAGATACTAAAGGAAATATAATTAAATAAAACTGTAATTAAAATAAAAGCATTTGATTATCGTAATTATCGTTCGTACAACTTTACTCATCTTTTTTGTAATTTTATGTCTTTGTACTTGAGTTAGTTGCACCTTTGATACCTCAAATGAAAGCTTGTTAGATAGAGATATAATTTACATAATTTGTACATTTTATTACTAGGAGATTTTTTACAGAAAATTGTATTTTTATCGAATAAGTAGTAAGCGTAAGTTTAAAACTTTTGTAAGTTTTCAACATTTTATTACATATTATGAACTATTGGAATGTCCGCTATGCGACGATAACAAAAAACTCAAAATCAAACATGTAGTTTTTTTGTATTTCAATTTTAACCGTCTGAAATCGGAATAAAAAATATAAAACTTAAAATTCAAATAACTCAAAAATGGTTAACTTTTGGATAAGACATGATAGGACAAAATCGGTTGCTTTTGACCTAATCTATCACACCTTAACAGGAATACGTGATATTACAAGTCACCCTATATATATAAAACCGTGAATTAATTATTTAACTATGATGGGTTGTTCAAACAACAACAAGAAAAGCAAATACGTTTCGAATTGGCGTTTCTTCAGTTTTCCAAAGAACAAATAAGTTTTGAAACAATGGGTCCTGAAGGGTTATCAATTAATAATTCCTAAGTGCCGATATAAACCAATAATATTTTTTTTATATGTAAAATGCATTTTAAAATCAGAATTTCAAATAGCGATATAAAAAAATCCAGAATTGGGAAGATAAAAATTGTAAAATAAACTCAATAACTGTTTACCAATACTTTTATCAACACCTACCCAAAAAAAAACACGATTAAAAATCAATTTACACAGAACATTTTACACAAAATCATAAAGATCTCATATATGTATGTTGTTCTCCATTATTTTTCTGTCTAAAAAGTTTATATAACAAATTAATACATACAAATCACTGATGCACAAATGTATTATTTGGAACCAATCTACTTCAATAAAAAAGTAAATTCCTTTATTTGGAGCTCTAAAGAAATTTAGTTTGAAAAGCTATATTAAGCGCGTTTTCAATTATTAAATCTTAATTTATTTAGAACCTTATATATTTATACAGGGTGACTTCGAAGTTGAGTCATTTATTTTAACAGTGAGTAGATCTGATCAAAAGAAATGTTTTTTTCCTTTACATGTTTATGCGGATCGGTTTCCCAATCGAGTGCAACCAACCCCTCGTGCCTTTGTTAATGTAGTACAAGGGGCTCGTGAATCAGGTGACTTAAGACCTCAGAGGGGACCTCACGATCAAATACAGGTCCGCACTGAAATACTTGTCGGGAGGATACTTTATAAAACAAGGTAAACATTTTTTTTTATTTTTACACACATATTTTGGTTTATCTTCCTTCTACAATCATTATCTGAAAATTAATGACTCAACTTCAAAGTCACCCTGTATAATAACAACCTATTGAAACTAATCATAAATTACGTACTAAAGCGCCTTATAAAACTGAACGTTTGTCACCCTTCTCTGGGGAATTTTGTCAACGAGTGATGTCACGAGAAAACGATAGACTGATAAAGTTACTTGGCTGTGACAGTAGAGTTATGATTACCGGCCGAATTAACTTGAGTTCGAGGGAATAGAACGATCACACATCGATCACATCACCGGACGATTCTTGAAATAGGGAGACTCGAAACAATATGAGCTTTTAGAAATCTATTATCTATGAAAATGATTTAAATACGACTGACAATATTCGGTTTTGAACCGGAAGCCTATGAGTACTTTCCGCCTACATATTATGATCAGGAAATTGAAATATATTAGAGAATAAAATTTCTCATCTCTTGACAAGCTGGCTCATTCAATAATGGGCTGATTTATCTTTTGGACAAACTAGTAATACAGCTTTCATGTGTGAAACCACAGACTGCTAACCATGGACAGCTGTGATATTTTACAACTTTTCAGCAAGATGCAGGCTTGGTCTCGAAGGTCAACAAACGAAAACTGAGCAACTACTCTTTTGAGAGTATAAGGTCTATCGAGATAAGACAGTGCAAAGTGGTCCCAGAATAGACCATCAAGAAAGTGAAAACAGCAAGCTGTCAGTTGGAACTGTATGCCAGTTCGCAATACCAGCCGGCACGGGTATTATGTATAAAACCAATAAAACGTAAAAAAACGATAAAATGTCATCTTGCAGTTTAGCTAGTTTTTAGGGTGCAGTCATTTCACGTTTGCTCACTAGGATCGTTGTGAGCGTCCTTCTATGGAGAAATGGCCCAACTACACGCATTGTCGGTTGCATATGTTTTGTGAATCCGAGTAGTCTGTAGTCTTCATTATAGAAGAAAGTTGGTTAAATAGCAAGATCACATCCGGACGATTATGTGTATTGGTCTGCATATGTGTATAAAATCAGTGATATTTGCTGTGAGAAAATCATTACTGAATATGCTGCTAATGAAGTATATCTATTAACTGTGCCCGACGGGTTATTTATATGTTGTCCTTTCTGAAGACAGGTTATGTTATAATTTACCATTTTTTATGTTTTTTGTGTTTTCAAAAACTTCGAGAAGAATTACGGGAAATCACCACCGCACCCGCGATGTGTGTAATTACTGTTAGCATGTGTATAACTTGTAATTCGACAGTGTACAGGGTGTACAATTATTTCTTATCTCTCTCATTTTTTAAATTCAGCAAATTTGCATATGCTATTTCCAGAATGGATAAGAAAAAGTGGATACGCAACTAATTTCTAGCTTTGAATCTCAAGTAAGTGTATTTGAGACAAGAATGCAATAGAAGTATCATCAACACATATTATTAGCACACAAATCCTGGTTAGATCTCCAATAATGCCATCTTTGAAGCAGATTTTACATCACATCAGAGCCAGACATTGATAACCGAAGGTCGTTTACGCAACACGTACAACTACAAAACGAGTTCACAAAGTGTCAATCAGCTAGTGTTAAGTTAACATCGTGTAGAAAAACCTACATAATGTTACAAAAAACTAATACAATGACAAAAAAATCAACAATGTCACTTTTCAAGATACGTAACACCCGTGCGGGTAACCACCGCGACTGGTAGATGCCGCCGATTCTGGCGCTATAGTAATTACGGTCTTCTAGCATACAGCTCCAAATGACAACTTTTCGTTTTCACTTTCTCAGTGGTCGATTCTGGTAATAGATAGCACTTTGTGCTATCTTTCATTATCTCTTGTACTATCCCCTACGTAAAAGTAATCAATAAAAAATTAAAGTATGCTTTGGTTTAGTGAAATTTTAGCGTAAACGAATTATAAGCCTGGATACCAAGATGCCCATAGTCCATTGAATCTTTATCGCAAACATTATCGGCTGCTCAACAAGATTTTTTGGAAATCGGTGATGTGATCTTTCTCGTGTGAAAGAATTTCATCAGTGTTAAATAATGATAAAGTCCCTGGTTCGTTAATACTTGTGGTAATACTACAACATATTTGCACACCTATTCATCAATCTAGACTGGAGATATTTTACACAACAGTATAAAAAAAATTTAAAATATTTAAATCGTTTTTAGTAATCACATCTGTGTAGCACCATCGCCATATCAAACAACGATTTGAGCAAAATTATAGGGCAATCATTACAGCTCAGCCACGTTAAGCTAAATAACTCAGCCTGATTCAGAAGGGGAGGCCACGCTCCTCTGACCGCGGATTTTTAACCTGCGCCACACAAGATATGCCTGTAAAAATTGCATAGGCATTTTTGGTTGGTAAGAAGTTTTGCCCGAGTTTCAATTTTTTTATGGATGGATCAAAGAATAGTCACTAGATATTTGAGTCAGAGCTATCGCATCAGTCGGAGGTACTCTGGCAGAAACATGTATCAATACAATGCCAAAAGTAGGGTAAGCAAAAAAGAGCACCGCGTGGAAGGTATTTAATGTTTGCTAGTCGCCTTTTTTGACTTTGTCCTTCCAAAATATGGGCCAGCGGTACCGTTTGTCACTTTTGCAAAATAAAAACAGAACCATCTTTGAACGAATCAAGTTGCAGGAAGTACTTCGAATCTGGTATCTTTATAATGAGCTGAATGAAGTAACAAAATATGAATTATTGTTACATATTTACTACATTCATTCGTCCAAAATATGTTGCACACTACTAGAAAATACAAACATATAGTCACGCGATTAACTCAACACGCATAATGACGATATTATTTTCTATTTGCCAAAATATAAATGCCTGAATTGTAAGATCCCATGAAGATTATTAGAATATCTGGGATCCACTGAGATGAGTGAGAATGAATCACTGGAACTCCTGGTGATTCATGTGACTCATATACTTGCATATTCTCAAACATTCAACTTTCAGTTAGAATGACAAATATTTGGTAGACTGCAAAAGAATGATAAAAATCTTCGCCACGAAGGAATGTAAGACTTAACAAAACTACATTAAAAAAACGTGTATCGCCTAATAATAGCAACATGTGGTTAAATATTATTTTCTCTCTTTTAACTGGTATGATCAGTCCACCTCTCTCTAATTTTAATCGTCTTGACTGTCGAATCTAAACTCTTTCTTCTACAATACTTTTAACATATAAAAATTTGAGGAATTTGTATCAATCGGAACCAAACGCAAACATAAATGCTCCTCTAATACGGGAAGGTGCAGGTAAAATAAATTGTGTTTCGATCTTGAGCAGACGTCTCATTTGGAATCATTAGTACGGTATATGCAAAGCGAAGGTATGCAAACTTCACGACTTTCAAGTTTGCCGGTTGCCATCATTGACCTTGTCCTTTCAATTGGTACAATAAGAACAGCGCCATTCGTCAAACCGATGGCAGAGGACTGGGAATGAATCCATGCAGCATTGCCAAGTTCCCAGAAAAAAATTATTATTTAATGACCTCAATGGAGGTGTGGTGGTGAAGATGAGATGAAATGAGATTCATAGCCCTGCAAAATACCATTTTGCTAACAAGCAATATGTAATTACAATTTATTTTTTTCTAGTCAAGTTGAACACGTAGATTTTAAGATAGACATTGAGCAACTTGTATGAACCAGTGTCACAATGGCAGTGTCATGTTTTTTGGTGTTTGGTTGTTTGTCATCAGTACCTGTAAGCAGTGCTGCAAGAACTTGATATGCTTGGAATAATTCGTATCAAATGAAGACGCCTATAATATCTTGAAAGATTCTGAAAAGCAAAACAGGTAACGTCAGGATTCTAAATGACGTAACCCGCACCGAATAAGCTGTGCTTTGTTGATTGGTCAAACCAAGTAAACCTTTAATCTACTTTTACCCAATCCACAGCTTCGCTGATAACAGCACTCTACATGCAGGAATTCAGAGTGACAAACCGATCTCTGGTGCTGAGCTGGAAAAAAGAAGACTAGCGACGACTTCCTCTCTGACTAGAGACCTGGACGTTATCACTGCTTGGGGACGCAACAATCTTGTACAGTTTAATGGTTCCAACACACAGTACTGTACCGTGACGAACAAAAAGCGTCCTAGCGCTCATCCGGTTTCGATGGATGTCCGAGTTCTGCAAAAGAGCCGTTCATTTCGGCTGGTTGGGGTCCAGATCACTGAGGACTTGATCTGGCACGAACACATCTCGTCAATAGCGGCAGCTGCAAGGAAAAAGCTAGGCTATTTGTTTAGGGTTAAGAAGTACTTTTCTCCGCATGACCTTCTCACTCTAACCAGATAAGGCATAGCCTCGAGTATTGCTCACACGTTTGGGGTGCTGCCGCCCCGACTACATTATTTATGCTCGATGCTGTCCAGAGGAGGGCTGTCCGACTCAACAGAGCTCTCTTCCATAATGCCACCACGCGATGTGCCTGCCAGATAGACCCACCTGACCCACTTTGGCCTCCCATCCTAACCATGTCGAACTTCGTACATCCAGAAATGGCCGATACGACCGCTCCTTTATCCCGAGGGTATCGAGATTGTGGAACAAGAGGCAGCTTTTCCCAGTTCTACTATCCTCAGACAGTTCACTAAAACCGAATTAACAAAATTTCTTTAGGATCTTCATAGCAGTCGCGGTGTCCCGGCTTTAGACTTCTTGGCCTGCGCGGCTGCTTCGGTATAAAAAAAGGATGGATGGATCTATATATTCGTATATCTGCAACAACAAATTCCCACCCCTATTAAAATGACGAGTTTCATACAATGTTTCTACTCCTTGACAAACACTTTTTGGAGATAAGATTTATTTTGTTATTTTTAAGTATACTTACCAACATATGTAGCAATATCTTTTTTGAGCTGATTATAGTGAAATAATTCCACACATATTAAAGTTCAGATTATGAATACCCTATCATCTAGACAATGGCAACCAATTTCATTCTCATGTGGCTCAAAACTCTATCTCAGTTAGTCATTATGGTTTTAAAGTTCACATATCTAGTCCAAGGCATATATTTAAATGAGCAACAACCAGTTGAATGTTTAAGCAAAGTTACTTTATTACTGAATACTTACAAGTAAATTCATAATTTTAAAAAAGCAAAATTTATTAAAGAGTTTCAGTCTATGGCATTCGCTAAACTGATATGATAGCCTGATTAGACTAGGTTGCTGCAATATGTTCAAACAAATTTCCCGTCTGACAATCCAAACTGTATGTCATGTTGCTCAAAACATTTCCGCCTAGTTATTAGCATTTATCATGTGGCTGATCTGCATGTACCCTTAAGTGAAAATTCTCTATACAAATATTAGTGACACACCTCCATGACTAGACATGTTTTGGTTTACTTATCAACGTGTAATCGTCTCTATTACGTAATGGGTGAAAACTAACCTCCTCCTTCCTTTCCTCAAACTTCATTTTGGGAGCAGCTTCTTTCGATTCCACTGATATCACTTTAGTGTCATTGACTTCTACTTCATCATAGAAATTGGCTGTAGGCGTATCGCTAGTTGCTGGTGATGATGGAATGAAGACCTAATTAAAAAATTTAGTTTATTGATTAGCATAAGATCTATTCATCACGAGAATCCGCGGGCATCTAGTCTAATCACATTAGACGGAAAATCCTCTGGTTTCAAATCATTGGGAAATAATTGTAATATTTCATTTTATTGATGCAAGTAGTTCAGGAGTGTAAATCATGGCCACAAAAAATGAGTAGCTCAATTTCTGGCGACTGTGATGACAGCTAGAACCTTCATAGGTTCACATCTGACAGGGTTCACGAATGTTTAGCTAGTCACGGTAAGAAAACCGTTAATGTAGATCAGACACCTCCACTTGTTTGACATTGCAACATTTTACTACACTTAACCTCACTTTTGACAGGCCAGTCGTATTTTCCTCCATATAGAGGTATGCAGCAGCCATTGTACGCTAATAAAAACGAACTTTATGATCTCACCTGTTTGTACCGAGAAGATATTACTTTGCTAAAAGTTCCAAAGAAATTCAACTTGCTATATTCTCCCGTCACTTCCTTGGAGGTCTGTGGAGCCGGTTCAGAGATCTGTTCAGTTGTAGGCGAAACATTGCTGTCTATCTTGAAATCCAGCCTAACTGATTTCATTTTATCCAGTTCACGCCTCACTTCACCCCAAGACATGTACTCATCATCTAGGTCTGTTGTAATAATTTCTGATTCAGTAGAATGTTGCTTGGCGGGCGAGGGTTCAGTAGAATGTTGCCTGGCGGGGGAGGGTTTGCGGCCAACTATCTCATATGGAGGTTCAGCTTCTGAAGTCACAAAAAATTGAATTATTAGCATTGCATAGCAGATACATATGTTAATTTTTGCCCAGCGAGATAATGCTAGGCAAAAAACTGAGAGCGGGAAATGATGGTGTTCTCAGACATTGTATATGAAATATCGTTCTTGGGCTATATTTTGGAGTATATTCATTGAACATATCATTGAATGCACGAAATACATTCTCTACACGACATGTAGACATATTTGCATATTTTAAAGTATCTCCTAAAAGTTTTGCCACAAAATATTTATCGGTTTTTTTTTAATGAAGAAATTTATTTGAAGACTAACAAGTTATCATAAATTACAAGTCAATACTTAATGAAACTATACTATCTAACTGTGGAGTGGCCCATTTTGCTCTGCCATGCACAACTTTCTTCGAATGTCTCTCATGACGTCCTGGACGAATTCAGATCAATTTCTCTCAGTTTTTCGTAAATTCGCGGTCTTCACGTTGGGCTTCCCAGCCTCCATGATCAACTTTATCAGACAGTCAAGCCCAAAAATCTTCTATTGGGCGAGCTTGTGGCAAGTTTGGAGGATTATCGTTTTTGGGAACAAAAGGTACAGTAATGGACAAAAGTATATAGACAAACCTAAATAGCTTTAGAAGAAACGAATTCATACTTCATTGCTCCATAAACAAATTCCTTGTTTTTACATTATCTGCAATGAACACAATACAAGTCTGAATATAAGCACTTTTTTATGACGGACAAAAATATGTAGACAAATTCTATTCAACATTAGTTTAGTACAGTTTCGTGTCAGAAGATGATTAGTTTGTGTTCATCAAGTATTGTGGAATAAGTTGAGTAATTTTAAGACCATGCCACGTGGTCCAGAAATTTCTTTCGATGTGAAAACTAAGATCATTGAGTTATACAAAGATGGTCAACGTCAAGTCAACATTGCCAAAAATTTGAAGCTCAAGCATAATATTGAACAAATATAAACAAAAAGGTATCGTGGAAGCCTCTAAGAGAAGTGGTCGGCCTAGAAAACTAAATGCTAGATCAGTTAGATTAATAAAAGTAATTTCGTCCAAAGATCCGTTTAAAACCTCAAGACAAATAAAAGCCGAAATCGAGACAAAAGGAATTGTCAGTGTTTCTACGAACACTATACGTAGAATATTAAATGATTTGACGTTATTTGCACGTCGCCAGAGTAAGAAGCCGCTAATCTCGAGGAAAAACCGTAAGGACCGATTACAATTTGCACGGTTGCATCTTGATTGGAGCATCTGTGACTGGAAGAGGGTATGTTTCAGTGACGAATCCAAGTTCAATATGTTTGGATCAAATAGTGTTCATTACGTTAGACGTCCTAGTGGAGAAAGATTGAACCACAAGTACACTTTGCCCACTGTCAAACATGGAGGCGGGTCTGTTATGGTTTGGGGGTGCTTTTCGGGGTTTGGGATGGGACTTTTACATAGAATAGATGGCATTATGGATAAGTTTGTATACACAGACATACTAAAGCATGTCATGTTAACCTATATGGAAGACAATATGCCCTTAAGATCAATCTTCCAGCAAGATAATGACCCGAAGCGCACTTCAAATCTCGCAAAGAAATTCTTTCTGGATGAGAAAATACCAGTGCTCAAATGGGCTTCACAGTCTCCCGATATAAACCCCATTGAAAATCTATGGGAATACTTAGATAAGCAAATACGAGATAAAAATTATTCAAACAATGATGAACTTTTTGCCGCTTTACAGCAAAAGTGGAGACAGATTGATGAATCTTATATCAAGAAACTTCTACAATCTATGCCGAGACGATGCCAGGCGGTAATTGATAACAATGGTTATGCTACAAAATATTAACACAAACATGGTTGGTTTTCTATAATTCAATGAACTTTGTTTCTTTTTTCTATAATTGTTTTGCTTTGTCTATACATTTTTATCCTTCATAGTTCCAGTTTTTGTCAATTAATTTTTTATTGAAGGGAGTCTAATGAATTTATTTATGTATAAGTGAGTATTATGTTATAACGAATTATGTATACAGGTTGGTGTATTAATAAAACAAGTTAAAAAAAGACAGCACAATATTAATTTGTCTATATACTTGTGTCCATTACTGTATGTTGTGTTGTGGAAGCCGGTTTTGGGTATCTCTTGAGTAATGGCATGATGCTTGGTCTGACATGATATGATCATTAGCATTGTGTTCGTGGACAAACTGAAGCAATTTGTAAATGCAGTTATCAATATAGCTCTGACTATTCAAAGCTTCACCCCACACTCTTCCTACAAAAGGGATACACCCCATTAGAAATTGCGCACCAGACAAGGATTTAATCTGCAAATTTCGCTTTATGTTTGTATCTAACATTGCCAGGGCATTCCTCTACGTTGACTGTATAAAATCCGTCGTTTCCCTTCATTTCAGAATTACTCAAAGTGGAATACTTTTCGTCATCTAAAATAATGATTTTTCCATTGGCAAAGTGTACCCGCCTCAGTTGACGACAGCATCTTGGTAAACGAAGGAGTTGCACTTGAGAGTATTTGGGGCACTCAAGTTTCTTTTGATATTTAAAACCACTCTTCCTCAATTCCAACGATATCGTACTCTTAGAAGATCTGTATAGACGATCCATCAGTCTCCTTGTTGAGATTCTAATCTGATTTTTGCTCTTCTCACCAATCTCTCCGACCTCTGTACAGTAAATGCACGTGGTCTTCCAGTTTTTGGGAGATTCAGACCTGCTCGCACACGGTATTGTTCGATAAATGGTTCTGCGAGAAATGTTTTCAATCTGGAATATTCGACAGATTGCAGCTTTGTGTACCCGTCCAACAAACTTGTAGATACTATTTCTTATTTCTAATTTATACATCTTAAAGCGAAAACTTCAAAATAAATGAATATCAACTGACAGAAAAGTAAGTAAACAAACTTTGGTTTCCAAAGGCAACTTGATATTATTTTGTGTTTGCTAAAATTAAAATTTTGTGCCAAAACTTTTAGGACATACGTTATTATAATCTATTCTATTCTAAAGTCATGAAGATGCAGAAAATCTCAACAGCCTTCAAGTGGCCTCGTGTGACGACACAGTAAGGCGAACACTAGCCCATATGGTTAATGGCCGTGTCACAAATAAATGCCTATCTGGAGCAAATCATCATAAACTTAGGAGACGGATTTGACAGATACGATAGTTTCTCAGATTGTATCGATACACCTACCGGTTTCTGCGACACCGCTCACCGTTTCTCAGCAATTGTGGCATAAGGAGTAAGGTCCCTCCGAAAACTTTATTGCTTATGGATTGATTTAATCTGTATGGTATATGCAGTATGTTATCATGATCATTTTACAATCGTAAATCACCACAGACAGGGACATGCCTGCGCGTCCGCAGGGGCCGTAGTTCAGGAGGACCCTTGACCTGCAGTACCTACTAGGCTTTCTTGAAGTTTGGTTACAATCTTGAAGGGACTACAGTAGGTTATTTCCATTAGCAAAAAATATAGAAATATAAATATTAATGAGTGGATTAAGTGCGAAATTTACATTGTCCTCTTTCCTAATTTTATAGGAACTAAAAAACTTTCCATTTTTGACTTGCATCATTAATTAACGTATTCTCACCATGAAGCATATGTTGATCCCTGCTTGCCTACATGTACTGTAACACTGCTGTCTTATCTCCTGAGTCTAGAAACAAATGTAACAAAATGTTTCCAATGCCAACGCTCAACACGATGCGAATAGGCACAGTCGCAATCGGACTTTTTGGACATTGGCTAAGCAGATTGAACAGAACTTCTCAAAAAGCAGCATTCCACCACGTGACAGAATGGAACAGCTCTCAATGCCCAAGTGCCGCAGGTTAGTAGTTGTAACCTTCAGGCATAGGTTTCAGGCGGGTACTCTTGCCGCTTTATATCAACAAAGAAGATGTGCAGCAGTTCTTTTATTCGAGTTAGGTAGCTTCTCGTAGAATTAGAATATCAATGAATAAAGGTACTCATACTTTGTGCATATCGAAAGTAGTAGTTGTATACAAATTCACTTACGACCGGGTTTGGGAGGAAGAGATTTCCTAGGTGGTTTCAGAGGCAATGGCGTAGGTTTGTCTATTTCCAAAATCGATGGTTGTGATTGACTAAAAGAGCAAATCGACATTTGTGATTTACTAAGCGTTTCTAAAGACTGACTAGTTGATGATGGAGGCAGCGGCGTTCTTGACCTGGCTTCCATCGTCAGCGCAGCCTGTAGCTGATCAGTTGAATCCAGGAGTGAGGGCGTAGATTGACCTGCGATGAGTGACTTCATTGATTTCATCTTCGTCGCCAGATTCCTAAATATTTGAAATGTGCTGATTATTGCTTTAGAAATGCAATCTAAGGACACTAAGCAATTTAGCACTTACAACAACAAAATCATACACCATTTGATGCCCTTTTTAAATGGAAAAACATTCTAGTTTAAAAGTGCGAATTTGTTGTCCATTCAAGGTTATGGCGGTAGATCAATATGCTCCAGCCCTGCACTCGTTGCAGTTTCTTATTTGCTTAATGTTGATAGTGAATCAAGTAATTTTAGTAGGTTACCTTAACAAAATCTTAAGCTTGTATTTCAAACTGTTTTGTTGTTATGCTTTTTGCTTCATGTGTGGCGAATATTTTGCTATAGTCTAGATTACTGTCACTGTTACAGCTAGTTAGTTTGGCATAAAACATTGATCTATAATATATACTGTACTGGTTCTTGAAAAAAATGCCAACAATATGCTGTATTTGGATGTTCACCTATAATTTCCATTGTCATAGACATGTTGCCAAGTAGGGTCATAGTATTTCCTTATAAGTAATAAAAGTAAATACCATTTTTCTTTTTAAGAAAACTTTCAGTACTCAAACATGAGTCTCCCTTAGAAGAAAAGATTACCCCTTAACTACCCTCATAATAATTCCCAAGATTTCCTTAACCTGTGACAAGGGGCAAAGAGGTGGTTACTCTATACCCTATTCGTAGTCCATTTACGCCCCGACACAACAAAGATGCAGTGCAGCAAAGCGGCAGCCGCCTAAGCATTGCAATAGCTATTGATCAGTCGGCCATAAAACTACGAACAAGTGCAGGATTAGATAGGATAGATCTCAGGCTCGGGGTATCGCCGGTACGCCGACGCCGGAAATTGCTGATCATATTCGGTGAGTACCTAGCGTGTGTTTATACGTTATCATGTCGTCTACGGATACAGCAGATGAAAATGGGAAATTTCTCAGGCAAAAGAAAGTGTCCTTAACGTTTATAAGAGCGAAATTTTGGAGCATCCTGAAATGAAAATTCATGATATTGAAAGACGTGTGGCGAACAAAACAGGCTTATGTCCTATGACAATACTGAAAACAAAGATTATAATAAAAACAAAAAAATTGTGTCCACCATACAAGAGGCTGCATTAAATGAAGCTGTTGGATACAGTTGGTAACTTTGTTCGGAATGACATCAGACGCAAAGTCCATCGATAATTTGAAAGGCAGGAACTTCCTACCATAGACAAAGTATTACAGGAGGTTAATAGTGATGCTACCTACGTTCAAAAGGACCACATTCTTTAGTTTGCCCAAAGAACTTAATTTTGAATATTGAAAACGGAGCAGCCAAGAGATTATTTTATGGAGAAGAAATTATTTAAAATCAATAAAGAAATACCGCGACCAGGGCAGGAAGATTTATTACTTGGATGAAAAATGGATAAATGCAGGACATACAAAACCTAAAGTATGGGCTGACTCTACAATTAAAAAAGACAAGCCTTTTTAGACGGACTAACCACCGACCCAAAAAATCCGTTAGGTACGTGTATCTAACCAATTCGTTATTTGTGTTGTAAAAATGCTGTCAAGTGGTCTGAATCTATGAGCCCACGCTGAAAACTTAGCTACACTAAACTTAGCTATATTTGGTAGATTTGGAACCAACACCTGTTAGATACTCTACTTGTATTATTATTAAAATGATTTGTTATCTGTCACATTGGCAGTGAAGATGGCTTTGTGCCCACTGCCCAATGGGCATTTGAGTCTAAGAAAACAACTGACTACCATAAAGAAAGGGACAAGAATTCATTTGAATGATGGTTTGAAGAAACCCTCCCAAAGCTTCACGACAATGCCGTCATTGTACTTGATAATGCTGCATACCACACTAGTAAACTAGGAAAAAGTCCCTCAATGTCCACAAGAAAATCAGAAATTTAACAATGGCTCCTATAAAAACACATTTTCAATGAAAATAAGGTCAAAGCACAACTTGTCCATCTAGTCAGGCAGCACAAGCATAAACATAATCTTAATGATATTGGTGATGATAATGGCTAAAAAACAAAATAAGACTGTTTTAAGGCTGCCCTCTTATCACTGCGAATTAAATACCAATAAAACGATTTGAGCAAATATAAAAACTATGTGGCTTCAAACAACAGAACATTCAAATTTTCTGACATAAAAATTTGTTTTATGAAGTTGTCAACAGAGTGATGGCAAACGATTGGAAAGATACATCTGTCACATTCAACAGGCAATCAAAACAAATATGTAGGATCTGGATAATATGATAGATACTCAAATTAAATCTGTAATAATTAATATTAAAAAGACGCTTAAGCAATTTCTAGTACAGTCAGGGCCTTGTACAATAGATGAGCTCTATGTAATAGTTTAAGATTGTAGCTGTTTTAAGATAAACATTTCATTTTGTAGTGGCTATACAATTTTTGTAGTGTCACTGTACAATTTTAAATATAGATTATTATTATTATTATTATAACCATTTGGACAATGATTCAAGTACTTCTAGCGAATAAAAAATTGTGAAAAGTATGTGCACTTCTTTCTATAAAAATAATCATTGATTTTGTTAGATTATTCCAAGACCAGTGAGGAAAATATGGACCTGTACAATCTCGTTTTTGGGCATGTTGTGTTTTGTCTGGGCATAAATGGACTACGAATGAGGTATAATACCCAAAATTGGTGGTGAACAGGTAGATTTATTATACTTATATAGTTTTATGCATAAGTGGTTGGGGGTGCTGAAGTGTGTTTGCTTATTTTTAAACAGACACAGCTTTCAATTGGGTTGGGTACTTTCTGCCAGAGTATTGATTACTGCATAAACTGAACACGTTTAACTGCCAATCCACCAGTTATAACTAAGATATGATCAAGAACTATAAGGCTAAAACTGTTCCCCAGCCAATCTTGAGATATACCAATGGTACATTCAAAATAATATAGCTATTGTGAGGGCTCGACAGAAAAAATAAATATTTATTCCCATCCAAATCAAATAATATTGATGTACTAGGTGTTAATAACAAATAGTTCAAACATGGATCTAAACTCACCTAAATATTTCTTGCTGTCTCGGATGCTCCAAGAAGAATGCTCCTTCTCCAGACTCACATTTTCTCCCAGCCTCAAAAGTAAACCTTCCATTTTTATACCCATATCGCCTAATATAACAGTAAGGCCATGTGTACAATAATCTATCATCTACTATATTTCTCAGTTGTATGGCAGTTGGTGTTAGAAGTAAAGTATAGTTCTTATTACTTTCTAAACCACATCGTTGTGAAGCAGGCGAGGGGTGCAGCCTCACGTTAAACACCCCTTCACCTGAAGAACAGTATAAGTCATTATCTTCTTCGAGGCATGACATTTGAGATACATCATCAGGAAAAGCGACTGACTGTATGGCACTCAACCATTCACTTAGGTTTTGCTCTGTCGTAGTCCCGAATTCGTGTGTGGCAGTCTTGGTAGTTACACAAAACGTAGTTGGAGTTTTAGCGTGTATTTTAACACAGTTCTCTAAGGTTATGATTTTACAATCCTTTGACTCTGCAGCATCATAGATCTCCAGTCTATCGATTCCAAATCTACTGGCTTTGAAAAGGAGGCAATATTTATGCTGCCAAGATTTCTAAAAGGATATAAAACTGTAAGCAATATATTAAATGGAAAACAATAACAAATACCTTCAAAAGCTTTCCAACAGGTGGTAATAGCAAAAATCCTTTGTGCACTGCCTCCTCTTGCTGCATTTTCACGTATTTGTCAAGTATATTAAAAGAAGCCTATCTGTGTTGTTTATTTTTTGGAACCAAATCCACATTATATTTTTCTAAATAAGAAAAAACACTATTTTATAAAATAAATCGGCTTACGGCATTTCCTTGTTATTCATATTCGGACATCAATACAGTATTGCCAGTTTGCCGGCTAATATTGCATTCTTATGAAATTTACACGTGATATTACTGTAAAAGCAGGTTCATAATTCATAGTCAGCAATAGACTGCTCTCACTCACAACGCTTTGAAGAATACAGGGCAAAACTGCTCTCACTGGCTATCAATAGATTTTTATTTTCTTATATTATCCAAAGATAATGGGCGGATGTAAAAAATATCGCACACCTCTAGGAGGGGAAGCGCAGACATTCGCTACATTTTAAACGAATACGAATATATATGAACAATCCCATGATACATATCGTTTTTGTTTTTTATTGCAAACCAAAGTTCCTAAAATGAAAAATGTTGAAATTGAACTAGCATAACGCTTCGAATTCCACTGTTCATTCATCGTGTCGCTGTATAGCGAGATCTGAGCACAAGTAAACATTACGCTAGTGATATAAAAATTAAGGTATTAAGAAAAAATTCAATTGTAGTAAAAAAAGCGTGGGCTACAATTAACTGTATTTTCATAATAACTCCAATTTTGTAAATAGCAACTAAAAATATAGTTCTAACATTTAATATCAAGCACGTTTTTGTACATATCTTAATTTTTATATTGATCTTATTCCAAATTAGCCATACTTGATTCTTGGACTTTCTATTATTGCAATAACACAAACTCTCCTTTACTTAATTTCTACATTTTACTTCGATTTGGTATTAAAGCGTGTTTATTTTTCCCTTAAACTATAATTTATTTTCTCTCACAACACTGGTAAAATATCCATCGCAGCCAGTGTTACCAAATCTACCGATTTTTCGGTAGATCTACCGATTTTGGTCCTGGTCTACCGAACTACCGATATTAAAGCAAAATCTACCGAAAAGTGGACTTTTCCTTCAATTAAATAATTTTGGTTGCCTATATAAGAGAAATCTTTCTGAAGCATAGCGATAAAAGGAATGACAAAAGTACTATTATTATTCGTACTAGACCAGATAATATGTTTTTATTCTCCTGACATTGATGTGCCACATACGCTGATTCTTCGCATCTGGGAAATCATTGAAGATACTCGATGATTTGGCTACATCGCCTAGGCCTAGCGGCTCGTGATAAGTCCATGCCTGTATTGTACGATTTCTATGATTTCGTGTACTTAGTAATTCCGAAATCGGCCAGTATTAGTATTGCCTGGCTAGCAGTCATTTTTTTTTCGCGTGCGTGTGCCCATCATTATAAGGAAGACTGGGAAGAATTGCCAGATTTATAGGGCGCGAGTATGCGAAATGCTTGGACTGTGATAAAGATATTAATATCAAAAGCGGAAGAGATGCACTTATAAAACACGCAAATGGGCAATTTTATAAAAAAGTGCAAACCATAGCAGAACAAACAAAACTGTTGTCATTTGCAGTTGCAGGTGCATTAATGAAATTAGAAAATGATATTAAAGAAGGTAAAATTAATGAATCTATTTGAGAAGATTTGAGATTATATAGATTATTTTATTATTTCCAGGAGAAATTCGTTTGAGCGTATTTTTGGCCGAGCATAATTTGCCATTCCTGCTGATGTACCATTTGACAAAGCAAAAATAGTAGATAATATGACTGATAAAAACTTATACAAAAATTAATCGGAAAAATGATTATCCAATATAGCTTACACATTTTTTATTTTATACACGTTTTCTGTTTCTTAAAAATACATTATTTTATTATTTTTAAGAATATTTCATCTTTAGTTAGCTAAAGTGAGATATAAACTGTTTATTTTTGTTTTGTCTTTCTGTTTTAGAATATATTATGAGTTGAATAAAATTGTTTTAACTTTTAAGCCTTCATTTACTCTTCGGTATTCTACCGAAAAACTACCGAAAAATTTCATACAATTCCGAAATATCGTCGACTCCACCTGGCAACACTGATCGCAACTTGATCGCAACGTTGACGGTTAGCTCTCTCTTCAGAATCATCGGAAATTCCTGTGTTCTTTATGAGTGATGTTCTTTGGCCTTTATCTGTTAGAGAAACATTCTTGTAACATGAGGAGTATAATAATGATATAATCCATGATATATCAGTGGAGTATATAAAACTTCAGTTCAGAGGGGGTCATAGGTTTCGGGAGGGAATTGTGTAGTGAGTATCTATATGAGGCGTCCGCACCTACCCCCCCCTTACGGGGATGATATGCTAATATTATATGTAAAGTTAAAAACAAAATAAAATGTAACAATAAATGTGAGGTGAAACTGGCCTCTGAAGAAATTATGATAAATAAATAAGCAAGTAGGTACGTGTGCAAGATTCAAAAAATTTAATACGATAGTAGTATATATTGTCAATATAATTATACATATATTATGAACGAGACACATCATCGGTTGAAATAGTCTGCTAGCTGACATCAATATCTATTTTTTTACAATGAAATCGTATTTGTTAAACCTCAACGTCAAAAATTAAACAAGGTATAGGTTCGGGACTCTAAAAATCGTAATTTTCTGTTCTGCATTTGGGTCAAAATAGTTAAAAAAATCAAGTTGGTGGTATTATGTCGAAATTTCGTGGAATTGACGGGTTTCAAAAATATGGTAAAGACGTTATTGAAGGTAAATGTCCCAAACTTCGGCATACTGACAGGCTTTTCATTTCTATTTTTTTTAATAATCGTTGTTATTATGTACAACAAACTAAAATGTAAAACATAACTACTCGTATCAACTTCATATCTAGCTCTGGTAATACCATATGACAAAAAAATAAATGTAGACACTCATGCCAAGCTGAATATGAAATCTCAAAACGATAATTCCAAACGAAAGTCACATTTCATAACATCTTTAAATCAAGACTATGATATATTGTATATTTTATATATTGTTGTACTGATTGGCAATCTTTGTACTTGGAATACGAGTATTATAAATATAAATTTTTATGTCATATATGTATGTATTTATATGTGATATAGAGACACATTACATATCCAACATAGAATAAACACCTCTTGTATGAGTAGTATCTGTGTCCCTATTGTATTAACGACGTCTTCGCATCCATAAGCTAAAAGCAAAGATACAGGTAAGAACCACTGGATACGGTAATGATCTGTCTTTGTTTAAAAAACCCCTATTATTGCTCTGATTTAATTGTGCCATGATAAAATACCCGTAATAATCAAGTGTCGTTATCACGCAATTAGGGACACAACAAACAAAAACCATGTCCCTTATTTCGTGTTATTAGTGTTGCAATATAGAAATGCTCAATGTTCTGAATTATGAGTAGAAGATGTTTATTAGCCATTTAGTATCATCATGTAGGTAATTCAATAACTATAGCAAAAAAGGATGCATCAATTTTATTAAAAACAAAAAAGTGATACTTTGTATATAGGTATATATATATATATACTCAAACTTTCCTTAACTTATGCAATCTGAGCCTCACATAACATTCTAGTTGAAAAAAGACTGTTGGAAATTCGGTCAAAAGAAACACTATACTTTTAGATGTAGATTTTATATTTTGTTAGATGTTATTTGCATGTAAAATACAGAGCAATAAAAATTTGATAGAAATAACTTTATTTCGGGAGCAACCCTACTTTAGAGACATAAAAATTAGCTGAACCTAATTTCGTGAGTCAGATTTTAGCATTTTTTATTTCTTTAACTATAAATACCTTCACTCGTATCTCAAATTGTTTATAATGAAATTATTAACAGGAATATCAGATATTTTAGTCAAGTTAGCTTATTTACCTCTTGTGGGAAGCTTAAGAAATTCATTGCGTAGCCTTACAGTTGCAAACAACAAGTTCGTTTCGCTTGGCATCTACCGGTCGCCTGCCAGTTCCGAGAAGTATTTATGTTAATGGATGAAAATTTGAATTTTGGTTTTTGAGGCAACTCAAATTATAGAGAAGAGGATTGCAAATAGAATATCGTATATAAAATGCATCACGATTTTCTTATTTTGACGCTTCAAAGAAAAACTAACGAAGTTATGTGTATGACATTTACCTTAACTCATACAGAGCTCAGCGTCACTGACTTTTCCAAGAAAAGGACGAGAGGTTTTAATTTGCGTCTTGTACAGCGGATTTTTTTCAGTTTCTTTTTTAAGTCCTAATACCTACATATTTCTGGGTAATTTTTTGGACCTAACCTTCCAGCCGCCCTTCATTTCGATCCCTACAAATACTTTTCCACCATTATAATATAATCCGAGGATTGGTAACCTAATTCCAAGATTTAATACAGGCGAATTACCTTCTGCTTTGTCCGAGTTAACAACGAAAAGTTCACCTAAAAATTTGGTCAGTATTTTATACGCCACTGTTCTAGATAACCTAAACAATATTGGACTTTTAACACGCCGTGGTCCGTGGTAAAACGGAAATGGGTTTTAGTACGGTCCGACCAAAGCTTTGGAATCGTCTTTGGTTTCGGCCATATTCAGCCATAAGTATACCTTGGCACACACATTTGGTCGAAGGGCGAAGGTTTCGAAAAAAACAGTATCTACGACAGGTTTTGCGAAAACATATCAAACGAAGTCAGGCTTTTGGTCCATTCTTCTCTGTTGAAACCAACGAATTCAGACTGAAGGAGCAACCCTACTATTTGTTTGTCTCCAAAGTATCAGTCTGTAATCAGGATGAAAGTGCATACTATAAGTAGACCTGATATAATTTTTGACAGTTCTGTCATTTGATTTGTGTATTTAGTTTTATTTTTTTAAAGTTCGAATGTTTGCAGATGATTGTGGTGTAAGACGATTTCAGGACGTGGTACTTGCATAAGTTGTAAATAGCGGCGCAAGCCTTATGAAGGTAGATCTTTCCACTGATAAGTTCTAACATTATGCAGATACAAATTTGTCACTTTGGTAGGCATTGGTAGCCAAATGAGTCTAAAGTATTCAC